CGGAAAATCGATCGTTGGTATCCTGATAGAAAGTCAAGAGTAGAGAACAAAATATTGAAAACTTCATCCATCCTTCCTATCTGATCTTACCCTATCCTATCCTATCCTATCCTTCCTATCTATCCTTCCTTCGTATCATTTCCTTCCTATCCTTCCTATCCTCTCCTATCATATCCTTTCTTCCTATTCTGTTCTATCCTATCCTTCTTTCTTATTCTATCCTATCGTTCCTTCCTATTCTATCCTATCCTACCTTCCTATTTTATCCATCCATCTTTTTCTGGATGACTCAGCTTATTTTGGATGACTCAGCTTATTCTGGATGACTCGGCTAAAAAAAAGTCTAGATCTGGAGTCTGAAATTGAACTTCGTTCAATTTCCAAAGTCTAGTTATTTATTCTTCCTCCCTCTTTTTCTCCTACTTCCAACTACCTTTCAACTAGGTACTACATAGTCCTACTAGGGACCTGGGCTGAACTTGGCGGGAAAGGAATTTTTATCTAGGTCTAGGTCAAAGGTCAAAATCTAGGTCAAATGTAAGTTTTTTTCAAGTTTCTCAAATCCTGACACTACACTTAAATATTTTTGGCTGAATTTTTGCACACAGATAGATATTAGTATTCTATTAGTCTTAGCCTTTTGCCGTCTAGAGAAATTTTGCCTAGATTTTGAGATATTGAAGGTCAAAAAAAGGTCAAAAAAGGTCTTTTTTCAACTTGCTTCAAATTGACCAAATTTTTTTTTAAAACTCATCTACAAGTTCTCAAGATTCCAAATCTAACCTTACTTTTGACCTTTGACCTTTGGTTGACCTTCAGTGACCTCAGAAAGGTCAAAAAAGTTGATTTTTCAAATCGATTTTCTGGATTCAAATTTAGGTATATTTATTCACAAAAGATCTTCTGAGGTCTAAAAAAGTAAAATTTGCAAGGTCAAAGGTCAAGGTCATCAAACGAAATCACAAACTGTGTTTTCTAAGTTTCTCAAAATTAAAGACTACAAATCAATTTTTTTTACTGAAAGTCAGAATATATATTTCTCTAAAGGTTCTACACATATTAGCAATTGACTATTTATTAAAATTTTGCTCCAGTTTTGAGATATTAGAACTCAAAAACTGAAAAAAGGTCAAATTTCAAAATGTTTAAGGTCAAATTTCAACTTGCTCTAAATTGACCAAACTTTTTTTTAAAAAGCATCTACAAGATCTCAGGAACTCAAATCTGACCTTAGTTTTGAACTATGACCTTTAGTTGACCTTCAGTGACCTTCGAAAGGTCAAAAAAGTTAATTTTTCAAATTGATTTTCTGGATTCAAATTTAGGTTTCTTCAATCAGAAAAGATATACTGAGGTCTAAAAAAGTAAAACCTGTAAGGTCAAAGGTCAAGGTCATCAAACAAGATCACAAACTGTGTTTTCTAAGTTTCTCAAAGTTTGTGACTACAAATCAATATTTTTGATTTAAAGTCAGGATATATATTCCTCTAAAGGTTTTACACATGATAACAATTGATTATCTATTAAAATTCTGCACCAGTTTTGATATATTGGACCTCAAAAACTGAAAAAGGTCTAATGTTGAAATTTTTCAAGGTCAAATTTCACATTGCTTCAAATTGACCAAACTTTTTTTTAAAAATCATCTACAAGATGCCTGGAGTTCATATATGTCCTTGTATTTAAGATTTGACCTTTGGCTGACCTTTAAATGTTCAAAAAAGCCTACAGGGCCTCCGTAAGATTGCTTGCAATCTTCTAGTTATAGGCAATTGTTTAATAAATTGACCTATAGCTAGTGATACAATACTATATATATATAATTATATATTTGTATGGTGTTTACCGCTATATAACAAATAATATCAACACCAATGCATAGTTAATCCCATCGATTGGGTGTCTTGTTTAGGCCTCAGTCGGCCAGCCATCAATTCTCATAATGGCCAACTTATTATAGAACTTGGAAAATTGCCAAAAAATAAAGTGACACACTTGCATGAGTTTAAATATAAAAATAGCTTCTGAAAAATATTCAAAATAACATTGCATAAAAAGTCTGAACAGTAACAGTGTAAAAAGACAATTCAATTCTTGCCAAACAAATTATTATATAAATTGTAAGAATAAAAATAAGCTGCGATTATGAAACACCTTAATTGGTTTGCAAAGCAATGTGATTATACACATTTTTATACAGGGTGACCCAAAAAAACAGAACCCTCTAAGTGTAATAATTTCTGCAATGCCTATCCTATCAACCCATTTTTATATGCATTAACTGAACGAGATTCCATTGGATGAATTCTCAATCAGGGTCTCAAGAAATCATCTGCATTAATGATCTCAACATCTAAACTGATCACAAAACGAAGCCAACGAATGTGATGCGTTTAAACAAACGATATGTTCCCTTTGATCGACACAAAAATATCACATTAAAATTTATTTTCTTTCAAAAGTACTGTTTAATGCCTTTAAATGACCGTAACAAGAATATTTTATGCTTTGTGAAGAATTTGATTGGTATTGTCATCAATAGATTGTCGTTTATGTACACAAAGAATAAAGCTGATTACATCTGCATTAAAGAATTTATTTCAATTTTGGAGGGTTCTGTTTTTGGATCACCCTGTACTCTCTTTCCTCTCACTCATATAGAATGCATCTGATGTGAAAAGAGAAACGTACCATTCAAAGGTTTGTGTAAGACTATCCAAAGCTGGCAGTATTGTCCCAGGGTACTTTTGAAATGCACATCCCCAGTAATTTGACTATACCTGGTATGTGGCGAGCTATTATTGCTCCCAGGGAGGGGAAATTGACTCTCTAGGTTGCTCTCGAGGTAGGGAATTGACAGTTCAGTTTTTTTGTTTTGTTAAAACAGAGACATATAAAAATGATTTGTCTTATCAAAATCCACACCCCTCTCTGCACGGGGGAGTCTCAAAATACGCAAACCTTTGAATGATGCATAAAAAGCAATATAAAGTTATGTAAATAATATTTGAATTTTAGCTTCTGCACATGTACAGTAAACTATTGTTCAATTTTCTCGAAACTGCGCTCATAATCTGTAATTTATTTTATCCTATGATAAGTGAGGTTTTAGGTACATAGCGGAATATAGAATTGATATCTCTAGGGAGCGGGACATATCTCCCGTTCTAATATATTGAACAGAAAACATTTTTGTTCAGTGTAGAAACAGTCAATTTGTTAGAATACCCTGCTATAGCGAAACTATTAAAATGATGTACTTGAATTTTTCTTGACCGAAATGTTGATGAATTTCTCAAAAATAATGAGAATGAGAACACTTTAAAGAAAACAAACCTGGATGGGTGTCATAAAGTCCTCAATTGTAACACCTCACGTCACTTGTCATAGAATAAATTACTTATGTGATGCTCGGTTTTGAATATGGGGTATATCCCATTACATAACCCTCGTGTAGCACTAGATTGTGTCACTCTTTGTTTATTTTGGAATGTTTTATCTCACTCATAATTTGTATATTCCCACTCCTGATCTATTGTATCTCAGTCCCAATACATTGTATTTCACAATGTTACTATTGTACCCCACCACTATGACATGCGTCAGACTGCAACTAATTTACCATGGCAGTAATTGTTCCAAACATTTTTGTATTTACATAATAATGTGGTTTAAGTACCAGAATGGATCGATACAGACGAATCAAGAGTCCCAAATCACAATTTTACAATATTCTTCACTCTCATCATCCCTTGTCATGCCTATTTTCGAATAAGTCTAACTTTATTTCAGAATAATCCTTCAATTTTTGAAGTTGTCCCGCAAAAATTGTCTCTCTTTTTAAATTTTTTGCGAGATAACCTCCTCGAAAATTGAAGGATTATCCATCAATAAAGTTGTATATTTCTGCATCTTAAATCTTCAATTTTACTTCTATATATGGTCAGAAATCTCAAATCTTTATTAGAAAACAAAATATATATTGTAAGAGAAAAATTGGCACGCTTTTATAAACGATTACATCGAGGATATTACATTCTTTTTTTCTTCATTTCATCCTTTCTTCTAACATTACTGTACGAATACATCTATTTTCACTACAATCAACTTCACATTTTTAAAGTAAAATAAATAATAACTTATATTCACAAAATTTAAATAACCCATACATTAAAATGACACTACTATAAGTAATTTCTGAATAAATACTAAGATAAATGGTTAGCCTCTATGAGATTCGTTCAAGGAAATGTGGTGTATTATGTCATAATGCCAAATTGCACTTGGCCGACTACTTTGGGCACTTTTCTTCAGATGTGACCTGGTCATAGGATGGAGGGGGCAAGCTCTCACCTGCAATCAATATTAAATAATGATGACGGATTTTACAATATGTATTAGGTACTTAATCTAATTGAAATTAAGATAAAAGTAAAAACGAAAACAAAATTGGTCTACAAAAAGGGATTAATATTTCGCAATTTCTCTTAGGGCTAGGCACAAAAGCCGCTTCGAACCCCTCACTCCCTTCGGTTGCTTGGGGTACAGAAGACGTTTGTGCCTAGCCCTGCGGGGTATATTCGTCGATATAACACCTGCTCTTATGTCTAGATTCTTCAATCAGAACCTGTTGGCTACTACGAAAAAATCATGCAATGTTTTTTGATTTGTCCCTAGGTATCAGCATATAAAATTTGAACCCAATCCGTCCACTATTATCTGAGTTATGAAATGAAAAAGTCTCAGCGGCCATCTTAAAAAGTCATTCAGCATATAAAATTTTGAGGTTATCAAAGATAACGTTTTTACGAAAAATGATGAAATTTACACAAAAGTAAGGTATGTTACAGTAAATTCTTGAACATTTTCAAGCAGACTGAAAACAGCAAAATTCAAAGGTGCTTACCTGTAGGTGGGGCAGTTGGGTGAGCGCCCCCTTGTGAGAGTTGCTGTTGAGATGAAGCCTGAGCGCTCCATTGTGGGGGTTGCGGTTGAGATGGGACCTGATTCATAGGGGCCCTAGACATCTGATAGCTAGGATACTGAGGTGTACTCGAAGGACCGATACTTGGCATGCCTTGCTGGTTGTATGACCCAGGTGTTGATTGAGGAGGTGGAACAACCCCCATGGGGTAAACCCCTCCTGGAGGTGGAGGTCCATACCCTGCGGGGGGTCCTATTGGTCCAGGGGGAGGAACAACAGTACCTCCTACGTGACTGTAGGTTGTAGTTGCTGTAAGTAGAGAACAAACTGTTAGTTAACTTTGATGATAACTTGTTAAGTAATATGTCTCACGGTATGGTAATATTTAAGTAAAAGTCAAACTTTCTCAAAATAAAGCTTCAAGATTGGTTGAATTTCCTAGCAGATATTGCCTATTGCCCCACCCCCCTCCCACCATCCCGTGTGCTAATGTAGATAAAGCCTTCCTTTGGAGAAATGGCACTTACCTGTTCCGTGCTTATAAAAACCAACACCATGTTTCCTACAGAAGCAACAAGATAGTATGATGACGATGATGCCAACGAAAGTGAGAATCGTCGAGCCTCCTATAATCCAAGCAATCACCGTTACACTAAAAATGGTGAAAACGCAACAATTATTCATCGGCCTAGGGGTATAAATTTTTATTTTTTTGGTAAATTGTCCTTTTTCTTTCACGATAAAATTTGTGAAAAAATGCTTCGCTGCCCTAAAGATTTATTCATATATTTATTTATATATTAAAATAAAACCGAAAATCATGGTAAAAGCTTCTAGAACATATGAAACTATGGAAAAAGGAAAAGGAAATAGATTTTCTCTCTGCCCCATCCCCTTGAAACACTGAAATGAATTTCCTTTAATCCCAGATTTCTAAAATACCATAAACCTTCAGGCCACACATTCTAAAATGTTTTCTCGTTATGAATACGCACAATATAACGGAATTAACGGGTCATTCCTATTGAAAATGTCTATTAAACAATACAATACAAATAAATGATCAATGAGGTGTCCATTTCTAAAACCTGTTTTGAGTTTCCAGTATTAGTTAAAATATCAGTAAAATGAATCAGTCTTTTATTCAAAATACTGGTCAACTGCACATGAATATAATACAGTAGACGATTTCCAAATTTATTTGTTTTAAATTGCTCACACTTTGACATTTGGCCAGAGGGGGGGGGGGGTCGCTTGAACACATCGGCCCCCTCCCCTGGCTACTGGCATGATCTATGTCCATGTCAATATACTGAAAAAGTTAATATGCCAATTCAAAGCTAGTGACAGAATTTGAATATAATATAATTTAAACCGTCAAGGCAGAATCAGATCTAGCAATTACTTAGGAGCTTCACCTTGGAGAAAATTAATTGTTTCAATTCTAGAATATTCGTAGCTCATATCATTCCTTGTTATGTCTATTTTCTAAAATACCCCAAGTGCATGTATATTCTTTATTTCATGCAAACTAAAGATATTTTCAATAATACATTGATTTTTCTATATCATGGTTACCATCATTTGGGATTTACACATTTCCCCCAATTTTTGCACTTTAAATCTTAAATAACTTTTACCAATTGATTTATATGTTGCTTGCAATTTTGTCAATCCCTATAGATCTGATTCTGCCTTTAGGTTATTCTTTCCAGAAAACATTTTTGAAAAAATGCTATACCTGCCCATGTTATTTTCTGGTACAAAATAAAGTATGTGAAGGCATGTGTTGGTATTTTCAGTACCATAACATTTTAATCCGGTGCTATTGAAAAAATTGGAGAAGAAATTTGGAAATTTGAAAAGGCGACTATTTTGATTTTTCTTGAAATATCAGAACATTTAAAAATGTTTTCTTTTAGAAGTACATTTAAAAATAGATCTATAGGTTGGTTTCGACTCATTTTAAAATTAGAAGGAAACTTCCTGGTTTGCCCAAGTACCCCGGAAGTCCCTCTACACTGAAGGCGACTGTCATGCTACTGAGTTGATATCGCCCCTGTTCGTGCAGATTGTTGTTGTGCACTGGTGACATTATACTGAAACATAAACAAATCTATAGACGGAATATTGCTCCAAGTACAATACTATACTCCACCCAACAAATATTTATCAAACCGTTGCTAGCTACTGTGAGCATTTGCTATTGATATTTACAATGAATTACGAGTATAGTAATAATATTACATAGCACTCATATTCAACGGCCGGTAGTAATGTTTCACCTTGCACAATGTCCCGTCTAATATATCTGTATGTTTAAGAACCCTTGAATAATTTATCAGATATTTGTAGAACGAGTCTGCCCACCTTCCAGAAGCATCCATTCCAAAAATCCCAACGAATATAGTCCAGAGTCGTGTTATAAATGTTTATTTGTTTTCTCGTATAGAAAACCTTTTCTCCTTTTCTGGCCCAGCACAACGCCACCTATTGTTTGATGAATCAAGGTTTATTCTTGATAGGGGTAAGTACAAATCTATCAGGAAACCTCTCCAAATTTGGTTAGAAATAGAATTTCTAGGGATGTCGGAGTGATTTTTAGAGCAGACTTTTAGAGCAGAAATTCACGTGATCACCATAGTCTCGGGAACATGTATGCAAATTCGAGTTCGAATGCCCTAAGAAAAAAATTGTTTTTTTTACTTTGGACCCGGTGTTAAAGAAATTATGGCCCCCTGGGGATTATGGTCCCCTTACCTTACGGCCCTGACTGTGTATAAATAATAAGGAAAATAATTGTAATTAGGTCACCATATAAATCAATAGAGAGTAGGACCAAAATCTGATAGGACCACCTACCCTTTTACACCTGCTTGGCGCTCCGAGACTCCGAGTGGACAAACTTCGATTTTGCACTGATACATGTTTTCTGTTGTTTTCTGTAATAGATTCGGTTGTAACACAATCGAAATAATGTTTTTATTTCTAGGTTGAATAATCTAGTATTGCACATCTTTACTACACATTTATCATCATGTCATGTTTTTGTGTCAGTCTGAACCCAATGACTGATGGGAAAGGTTGTACTCTATTATCATGGATCGCCCTGACAACTGAGTATGAAAATATATTTCAAAATGACTTAAGTATGTGCATGCCAAATAAATCGAACCAACACGGTTCGTTTCGGTAACAAAATGTCGGAACATCGAAGGTACGATTTCTCTTTTTTCCTTATTTCACACGTTGTAGGCAGAATTACCACAACATTTTTTTTATCACAAACGTGTATCAGTATCATATGTTTAAGAAAATGCACATAATTACGAACAAATAGTTCAGAAGACAACATAATCGTCGATTAATTCCTCATTACATAAACGGTATTTCTAAAAACATAAGATCTGCACTTTTAACCAAAACTGTTAACTCTTTAGGAGACCAACAGCATAGAAATGTAGTTCAAGTTCATTTGGTGAATAATGAGCAAGGCCTACATTTTTAAATCATAGACTTCTCTGCATTCTGTCCATTCTCTATGGACTACATTGCAGTATGCCAGGGATCTAATGATGTTTTTTAACTAGGACTATTATGATGTCGTACTAAGAATGGACCATTATACTATATGACATGTATGAATGTAACCATTATACAGGACATATTTTAAATAACCAACTGGCACATCGTTTCATCAAAATTGAGTAGAAACTGATGTCTGTGAACGCACCTAGCTGTCACCAAGTTGCTATGACAACCATTATTTCATTGTGTGGAGGTTATGAGCTTTAAGACTTCAAATAAACTCACAATTACACTTTTAAGACATGCTGAAAATTTAAGCATAATGAGAGAGCTAGTGTCATTACTTAGTGAACACCCTGTATGACAAAAAACCATACAGGATGGCGGAACTATGATTCGTTTGGGTTACTTTTTTGGCTCACCCTGTATCGATACATCCTTAAAGTATCATTGATTTAGACCATGAAGGATATTCTCACCAGCATATACATTGTAACTAGCTGTGAACTATTTTCCGTTGATTTACTTTATTTTTTCTATATTACGATTGTATAAAAATGTGGAACTGTCTAATTACAGACACAAAACATCATAGATACATACCATTTATATTATTTAACAGAATTAGAAACATAACAGAAAATAAAAAAAAGATATTCCTTCTACTGCAGTATATAATTTAGAGAATACAGGGTTCTGTGAACCATTTCAAATTCTCAATTTTAATCATGAAAGTATACTAGTAATGGAGCATTTCAAAAGATAATGTCGGAAAATTAACTGTACATGTATTTGAACTGCAAGGGGGGGGGGGTTATTAGCTTTAAAAGAAATCTTTTCTGCATCGTTCTGCAGTAAGATAATACAAGATATAAGTTAATACGGACACTGGACAAAAATACACATCGGAATACTAGTAATAATTATAAATAAAAAAAACTGACTGTGATACATATTATGTTAGATATAGCGTGACTTGACGCAAAAACGCAATTCAACATTTCTCCATCACAGTTATGAGGAGGAGGGGTAGGGGAGTCACAGATCAACTGTTCAAATACAGTTAGTAATCCTATATTAAACTTTTGAGATGCTCAATAAGTTACTGCATTACTCTTCCAGTAATCAGTATCTGCTTATACACGATATATAATTCCACTAGTCATAAATTCATGCTTAAATTCAAGGATGAATGAATACAACTAGATAACAGCTACCCCAAGACATAGGAAATCCCATTGAATATTTTGTTAGGCCTCAGACTGCCAGCCGTCATTTCTCAAAATAGCTACATTATTAGAGACAAATTGCCAAAACTATTTAGTGGTACCTCTGCACGAGTTTAAATTTAGTATCAACAAATATATCTTCTGAAAAATATTTAAATATGACATGAAAAGGCTTTTTAGAAACAGTATAATAGGACAATTCCTGCCAAACATAATGTCATAAAAATCATATAAAAATAAGCTGAGATTATGAAGCACCTTAATTGGTTTGCAAAGCAATGTGGTTACAAGATTCTTATACTCCTTTTCTGCTCAATAATGTAGAATGTATATGATTGAAAGAATAATGCACCATTCAAAGGTTTGTGTGAGACCACCCAAAGCTGGAGGATCGGGAATTTGACATGTACACTGCAGTAGTATTGTCTCATGGGTTGAGATTTTGAGTACTAGTACTTCATCCAGCGAGAATGGACTTTTAAAATTCATAATCCTAGTAACGACTATACACATATATGATGAGCTACTATTGCTCCCAAGGTGTGAAAATTGTCTCTCTAGGTTGCTCTTGAGGTAGGGAATATGACAGCTCAATTCTTATTTTGTTAAAACAGAGACATATAAAAATTGTCTCTGGTCAAAATCTCCAACCCTTCCTGTATGGATGAGTCTCACACAAACCCCCCAAATAGTGAATAAAGTTACTGTAATGTAAATATATAACAGTTAAAGCTTCTGTTTGGTATAGTAAACTGCAATTTTTTTTGAAACTGCACTTATAATTTACTGTATTACTGGATTGTGTCTCACTCATAAATTTGTTTGCAATGTTGTATCCCATTCACAATTCACCGTATTCCACTATGTATCTATTGTACTCCACTACTGTATTACACATTTCAGACTGCAACTAATTTACCACTAAAATTGATTAACAGCAGTAATTGTTGCAAAGTACTATATTATACACATATACATATAAAATAAATACAGATTTTAAAGCAATCGAAGCATTGGCATGCTTTTTAAAATACTACATCCTCTAAAGTCTTTTTTTAGAAAATAAATATAGATTTTAAAGGAATCGAAATCGAAGCATTGACATGCTTTTTAAAAGATTACATCCTCTAAAATCCTTTTTTTAAAAAAATAAATACAGATTTTAAAGGAATCGAAGCATTGGCATGCTTTATAAAAGATTACATCCTGTAAAATCTTTTTTTAGAAAAAAAATACAGATTTTAAAGGAATCAAAGCATTGGCATGCTTTTTAAAAGATTACATCCTCTTTTAATCTGTTTTTTTTAGAAAATAAATAAAAGATTACATTCAACATTTTACACTCTATCCCTTCTACTCGCTTTAGTGTTGTACTGTATGAATACATCTGTTTTTACTACAAGCATTACAATTTCTAAAGAAAAATAAAATCTATACCCCATACATTAACATGACAAAATGACACCACTTGCTCACTTATTGCATTTGGTTACAAAAGTCTAATTCTAGACAATGGTAATTTCTGAATAAAGCCTCTATCCAGTCAAGATAAATGATCCGCCTCTATGAGATTCATAGGTTTGTATAAGAAAGTGTTTATCTTTATTGTATTATTCCAGGTTTGTGCAGCTAATCAAGTCTTTACTTGAACTACTACATCGGATGCTTTTCTCCAGATGTGACCTGGTCATAGGATGGAGGGGGCAAGCTCTCACCTGCAATCAATATAAAATAATGATGCAGGATATCATAATATGTACAAAGTACCTGTACTAATCTAAAAGAAATAAAGATAACGTTAAAACAAGATTGTTCTACAAAAAGGGACTAATTTCTAGCAAAATTCTGGACAATTTATTGTACTACACTTAGTGTACTAAATGTATAATAACATTTATTATCCTACACTTAGTGTACTAAATGTATAATAACATGAAAAAATAAATTTGATATTTATTGGCAAAATGAATATCCGGAGGATATCGTAACGATATACTCCGGGCGGAGGATATCGTGACGATATACTCCGGAAAACCCAATATGCGGAGGATATTGTGACGATATACTCCGCTTGTTGATTTCCCGCCAAATTGACTCTATTTGGCATGAAATTCATTTTACAATGATATTATACATTCAGTACACTCCTTGTAAGTGTAGGATAATAAGAACATCCTATGATTTTTTTCAGAATATCATTTTAATATACTCGGTGATATTGATATATGCACTCGTTCGCTTTGCTCTCTCGTGCAAATATCAATATCACCTCGTAGATAAAAATGATATTCCTCAAAATCATAGGATATCCTATAAAAACTAAATTTGGTATCAATTGTGCAATAATTTTTTTTTGTTAAATTAAAGTGACACAAAAGTAATTTATGTTTCAGTAATTTTTTAAACTTTTTCCAAAACAGACTGAAAACAGCAAAATTCAAAGGTGCTTACCTGTAGGTGGGGCAGTTGGGTGAGCGCCCCCTTGTGGGGCTTGCTGTTGAGGTGGAGCCTGAGAACTCCATTGTGGGTGTTGCTGTTGAGGTGGGACTTGATCCATAGGGGCCCTAGACATCTGATAGCTAGGATACTGAGGTGTACTCGAAGGACCCATACTTGGCATGCCTTGCTGGTTGTATGACCCATGTGTTGATTGAGGAGGTGGGACAACCCCCATGGGGTAAGCCCCTCCTGGAGGCGGGGGTCCATATCCTGCGGGGGGTCCTATTGGTCCAGGGGGAGGAACAACAGTACCTCCTACATGACTGTATGTTGTTGTAGTTGCTGTAAGTAGAGAACAAAGTGTTGGTTCAGAACTCTAAATGATAACCTGTTAAGGCTAATTGCAATTAAACTACATGTAATCTCAAACTCAGACGCTTGCAGTACTATACTAGCCTCTGCAAATGGAAAGTTTTGATACTGATTTTTTGAAAGATCTGGCCTTTATCAGAGTTCAGCTTTAGCTGAGGATGTAGCCTGATATCAAATCAGATGGTTTTGTTTTATTTTGAATTACAAACTCTGATTGATGAAAGAACAATATTTCTTAATAAATTACTGTATAAGTGGTAATTTTGCCAAATCATTTAATTTGCCTATAGCCTAACTTTTGCCAGGTTTGGAAAATTAAATGTCGGAAATATTATAATGTTATCCAATGGGAAGTTTTTTTGTCATAAGGAAAATTAAAATTAGGAAAATGATAAAATTTGACCATTCGGCAAAATTAACCACTCGGATTAAATACGATTTATACAGTAATGTAGATGCAGACCTCATTGGAACAAATGACACTTACTTGTACTTTGCTTATAAAAACCAACACCACGTTTCCTGCAGCAGCAACAAGCTATTATTATAATGACAATTAGAATAGCTATGCCCCCTACAATCCCTCCAGACAGCTTTGCACTGAAAAATTGTGAAGATGCAACAATTATTCATTGAGGTAAACCTTAAATAGTTACATAAGATTTGGGTTTTCAAAATGTTTTGTATTGAAGCTTCCCAAGAGAAATGATTTTTATGTGAAACTTAATCTAATCCTTCTATGCATCTTATAAAGTGCCAAGACCCTAGGCATTAAAATAAACAACTAAAATTTTCTCGAAATGAATTCACACAAAAAGTCCTTAAACAAAAGGTCATTCAATATCAACTTTCCGAAAGTAAATAAAAGTTTCACATAGCACATTTTGATATGAGGTAGGACTATAATGTAAGCCAAAGTGGTTTAAACAATTTGGGGCCTTTGGAAATTGTTCTCCATATATTACTTGTTTTTTTTACATAAATTATTGACAAAAGCTTTATAATCTTGGTTACCATAGCAACCATAAAATGTTAAGTAGTTGACATACCCTTTCAAGAACTTACCCATATTTATCGCCAAAACTGCAGCAATGATAAGTATCTCCCCCAGCAAACTCACAACAATATGATTTAGAATTGTCACATCCAAAAATGCCGCCACTGAATCTATCTCCGCATGGACAACTAAACCCACCTTCGTGTCTTTTAAAGAATGAATCATATGTGGCTGGACAATATTCACCCGATATACCTAAAAATAAAAATGGTATATTTCACATTTTTGGCAGTTTTTTCTTATATCACATTTAATTAAACAAAAGAACAAAAGTAAAAATCAGAACCATATAAAGAAAATGTTAAGTTGTTGTCGAGTTTAAGAATATAAGGCACATGTTGAGAAAATTACTTTTTTTAAATTGCTTTTGGCTGCCATCGATTCTTAAATATCTAGCTTTATTAATGTCTTATAAATTTTTACATTTAAAACATATTGCTTTTACAGTTTTATATATTTTACCTAAATTACTGAATAATCAGCACTAAACTGGCCACCATTTTGAAACAAGTGGCCATATGGAAGTTCGGCTTTCGAGCAGAACTTTTATTACCATAGAGTATACATGTACAAAATATTGGGCCAAATGTATTTGGAGTTATCGCTTGGACGGGCGAACGGACATACGTACGTACCGATGGAGGCGTTCCTTATATATGAAATATGTCACTTTCTTGGAGTTAACACTACTCCTCTACCAGCTACTAAAAGTAGACAGGGGTGCCCTGGCTCTGGCGAGTTGGACAATTAGAGTTTTGACTTACATTAGAACTGGGACAGCAGCTATTCTAATCTTAACAAAACACTCATAAATGCAAAAACTTAACATATCAGGGTTGCCCCACTGGTCAGAATCCCTATGGTTTGGATCCCAATGATCTGAATCCCAATTGTCTGAATCCACATTAGTCAGAATCACAATTGTCAAAATACCATTGGGATTAGGAATCTCAATGGTCTGAATCTCACTGGTCCGAATCCCAATCACCCTTTTCCATGTTATCCCAATTGTCCTAATCCCATTGGTCTGAATCCAAATTGTCCAAATCCCAACCATCTGATTCCCATTTGTCCAAATCACAATCATCTGAATCCTATTCCAAATCCAAATCCAGCCTTGTAACGCTTAATTTTAATATCAAGATAATAAAATGTAATAAATGTGTAAATGTGGAATAAAATATCACGTTGATGTGTGATTATTGAACAAATTAGATTCTCTGTTAAGCCATGTTTATTGGTAATATTACGTATAGTGTTTTACACTTTGTATATTCTACTGCCACATAAAGTAAATATCAGGCTTTATTCCTGATTCTGATTAACTTAAATTGGTCATAATATGCCAATTTTTCATGATTTTTCTCATTCTCAAGTGGGTGCAAATTGATTTTCAGGGGGTGCAGGACAGGACTGTTTTCGAAATCTCAGGTGGGTGCTACCCCAATCACTTTAATACTGGGGAGATCATTGCACACAACTTTTCAAACTTAAAAATGTTGACGATAGAAATGATATTGAAACAGAAATAGAAATAATACTAGAAGTCCTTTTGTGAGTCATCTGGTCACTGTCACGGTTCCTTTCCCTTGAGAGTTCTATTGTCAAAAATGAATAGATCTCCCCAGGAATATACATAAAGTATGTACATGTATACCCAGGATATCAGAATTATTGGGATCATGATATTATGAATATCCAGGGGCGTCAGAAGGATTTGCCAAGGGAGGGGGCGACTGTTGGGTATGGATGAGTTGTGCGTGAATCTAGGGGGATCAGGGGGGGTCATTTCTGTCATTATTACACTTTGATTTTAACATGTTTAATTAGCTCTGGAGCTTTCAATTCTAGGCTCGGTTTCAAATCTAAAAAAATATTGGAAAGGGGGGGGGGGGGGGGGTGGTCGCCCCCAGTGCCCTCCCCCTTCCGATGCCAAAGATATCATCCCACTAATTCCAATATCAACCTGGTATCAGTCCTGATCCTAGATATATGATTTATGGTATAAAGTCTAATTGAAAGCCCATGACCTAACTGAAAGAATATGTGATGATGCCTTTCAGAAAAAACTAAGGAAATACCCCGGTGTTAGTCTCAGCCTGGGGGAAATACACCATTGTCATCATATGTTGTACTTTGTACCAGAAAATAACATTTACAGTGTATGATGTTTTCAAACAGGAACAAGATTAGAAGAAAATCTCTCCCAACAAGTGTAGACTACATATTACATGTATCTTTAAAGCCCATGGATCTAGCTTGAACTGGCTGAACTATAAGTTAGATCTCTGTTATGTTCTTGCATTCTACACTTTTTTCCAATGATAAATTAAATCAATGATAATTGTTTGTTTGTTTGTTGAGTTAGTCAATGATTCATAATCATTGCGAAATCTGTCAAGAAATTGAAATTGCGATATCAATTGAAGAATTAGACAAGAGCCTTACCTGTAATAATAACAAGTAGAACTATATGCGAAATAAGATCTACTTGTATCATCATGTACTGTATTACTGTAGACTAAATGTTCCACATAAAATAATTTTAAAAATCCTTGTTGGTTTAGAAATGTTTAGAAATATATTTTCTCAGTAAGAACATGTTATTCCCGTTGAAACAAAATATTCGCTAACGCGATATGGGAACCTGTCACTTTGGGAGACATCACCCGGGGAGACATCAAAGCTAATATCACATAGCCTATAGATACGCTTTGTCGTTTCGTATGATAATTCAGTCTTATTTAGAAGTAAAACTCAAAATGATGCTGGCAACTCAGGGGCGAATCTGGGAAGCAACAAGGGGGGGGGGGGGGGCAAATTTCAGGTCAGAGAAAAAATTTGGGCCCCTAAAACCCTAAAGTTTGTTACTAAATACCACCTAGGTGTCCCCTTGGGCACCTGGATTTCTAATTCCATTTTAAACCACGTACACATTTTAAACATAGTATTATCTCCTTTGTCATATTAACTTGACATTAATAGGCTTGAAATAATAATTTGTAGTCGAGAATATAGCAAAGATTCGAAAATAAAATGTAAAAAGTTTTATTGTGTTAGAAAAATGGGCACCTGGAAAGTTTTGCTCATATGTATGGTTACTTATTTGTAGTAATAAAACACCATTTATGCTAAAGTGTGCATTTATATTTGAAATAAATATATTTTTCTTACTTAAGTTGCTAAAATAGTGACTTCGTAGCATTTCATAGTGAGCAAATAATGAAATATTATTCTTACAAATGACTTTTTCGACATCGATCAAAATTTTCAAGACAATTAAAAATATCATAAACAAACAGAAATATTTACACAAGTTCCATGTAAATACTTTATTATGTACCATATTAACACTTGGAAAAATGTTATCTTGAAATAAAGTAGTAAAATATGCCAGTAAGGCATTTCAATGGGGACACCTAGGTGTGGGGCACCTAGGTGGTATTTAGTACAATCCCTAAAGTGGACCCAAATTTTGAAATTTGAGGCCCATTGTCTTCAAATTTGGCCTGAAGAAAAAAGGTGCATTGCAAAGTTTTGCTATGAATCAGGCAACAATGGCCCCCGGGATGCGCCTTTTTTAACACTGTTCCCCAACTTAGTTACTTTGACTGAACAACAATGTAACAAAATGGATGAACTTCCTAGTTACGAGTTTTTTATTTTCTCGATTTAAAGGCCCACTTTGCGTATTTTCAATGTTTTTGGGCAAAATAAAGACTTTTATTTGAATTTGTAGAATGTCCAATGTATTGATATGAACCCTATCTTTCATTTGACACCAACAACAGCCCAAACGGACCACATCAAAGCTTACAATAATTAATCAAAAAATATCTTTCATTCAAGCTTTATATATCAAGTTTTAATCAATGTCATTGAAAGATGGCGAAGTTGTTTGTATTACAGGATACATTCATTTTTATAGAAGTGCCGCCATCTTTAAAATAAAAAGAAATTAAAAACATGCACTTTGTTTAGCATGTGCATGCATGTCTAATGATCTCTGAACTTCAAATGGTTTTTTCTATGTGAGTTATTTTTTTCATTTTTGGTTCAATATTAAAGCAAATCAAACATTGTATCATATTTGAGCGAGTGTGTGAGTAATATGTTTCAATAATTTTTTTTCTTTTTTCTTCTGAATTAAGTATAGTGGGCCTTTAAACCTACTTATGAGCAAAGACATATAAAACATGTCTCTGTTATGAGTCAATTTGCAGATTATAATTTGGCACAAAGCTAGAAAATATAGTCTAGTTTTAATAAGTTTCTTCGATTTGGAATTTGTTGAAAATTGCAAAATTCTCATTTTCTGAAATTCTATGAAATTAATTACCGTCCCCTAAAGTAAACAAATGTACATTTACCCGAAGGTATAAATACACCAGTGTTTTCATACTTTATTTAATTCCAGAAAATAACATGTACTTGGGTATGGCAACTTTCGCATAGCTAGTAGATGTTATTATAAAATACCGTATTCTTAATCAATTGTAATTATTCATTTTACTTACTGGTAGATTGATTGATTGATTATGGATCGATTGATTGACAGTTAAACTAATACGCTGTTCAAACAAAATGTTATCGGGTATTATCTGTGTGAAACTCACGGCAGTGTTTCAGAAAGGAGATATAGCTCAGTGGTAGAGCAATCGACTGCAGATCGATAGGTCCCTGGTTCAAATCCGGGTGTCTCCTCAAGTTTTAAATTAAAAATGTAGTAATTTCAGTTTTTTGTTCAAATTTTAATATGTTCGACTGAAATGAACAAGCGCATATATATTATAGTGTAGGCCTACTGAGTGTAATATACAGGGTGTCTAGAATGTCTCTTTACAAGAGTAAGGTAATCTGTAAAGACAATTTATGGACACACTGTACAATTGTTTTGATATTATTGTGTACATGATTGGCGACGGACTGAAAAAATATACACTCTAGTAGATAGTGAATATCGTATTTATTGCTTTTCATTATACACATCCTGCACATTACATGGTAAAAAGAGAATAGTATGCTACAGTAATTGATGCTCTGATGTTTAGAATGTGGGTCATACAAGAACTAAACAATACAAAATTAAACCCTTATAAACGTTTTCATTTATTTATATAATAGTACTGATCAGTATAATATATATTTATTGCACTTCTCCTGAGCTTTACTTATAAAACAGTATTTGTTTGGTACTCATTCTGTCCAGGGGCGTATATTTCATATCAAGATATCATAACATCGTGAATAGCATGTAAGATATTTAAGTAGATATCAGTGTACCTATTGAGTACAATATCAATGTTAATATCACATCATATCATTATCATATCATATCACACCATGTCATATTCATAATATAAGTGTCTTGTTAAGTGACAAGTGTCTCTTTCCATGATTCAGAAGATATCATTGATGATTTAAAATACGATCATATCTTCTACACGGTGTTTATTTAAAGGAGGCCGGCGTCTCTGGCCATGCTATAGAAAATGCCGTTTTTATTTGAGAGAAGTTGAGATGGACTATCATATTCAACAACCTTTCCTGCATCCAACAGCATCACTCTGAAAAATACACAGACATCTTTTATATTAATGGGCAATATATTTACACAACAGCTAAATTTGAATATTGAATTTAAATATAGGGTAGTCAAATTTGAACACCAACATGGTCAATGAAACACTATTTTCAAGCATTTGTAATATAAGTTCTTTATGGATATTTTTCATGTATCTCTATGACAAACGAGTTATCCTCATTTGTTTACGATGGTTGCTAAAAGGATACGTTTATTTTACGTAAATCATTGTATACAAATACATCTCCAATCGCCCAAGAACATATGTTTGGGAGACTGGAAGTAATACAATGGAATTATGCCAACGAGTTCAAATGTGAGAAAGCAAAATCATCAATGTTTGAGAAACAAAATATAATATGTGCAGTCATATTGGCAACTTTATAATAACAACCCAATACATGGCAAAGGAACTCATTTTTAATTCTGAATAGTATATTTCCTTTAACGGGGCGCTATAGTTTTATCGACGTATACACACCTATCATAATCCATTATGGTATTTAACCTATGTGCTATAGTGAGAACAGTACAATCTTTAAATGCTGTTCGAATCGTGTTCTGTATAAGGTCATCGGTCTCAAGATCAACTGCTGCTGTCGCTTCATCCATAACGAGAATCTTGGACTTTCTCAGCAAAGCTCGTGCCAGACATAAAAGCTGTCGCTGTCCAACGCTAAAAGTAACGATAATAAATTGTGTACGTTTGTATGTTATAACTTTTGGACTCTCCATCTGACCGCAGAAGCAGACGACTAATGCCTCAGTCACATTTGATCTACGGCAACCGTACGCCGGCCGTAGCTTCCCAAAATCAAGAGAAATATGCAGCATAAATATAGGCAGTATACGAGTGTAGATTTTCTCTATCGATTTTGTGAAACTACGACCACCCGCCGTAGAGCAATGTGACTGAGGCTTAATAAGGTGCGACTGCAAGGCTAGGTGCTTTTTACAGAAATGTCGTAATCGTACAAGTCTACACATTTCTGGGAACAACCACCTGGCGAAATATTCTCCCTTCAATGAAGTGCAGATGAAGCCTACCTTAAATTCTCCCCCTCTTCTCCACATTCATGGTCGAGTCCAAGCGTAAGAGAGCGGATAAAATCTTTAAGGTGAGCATGCTCCAGGGCTTGCCATATTGCCCTATCTGTGTATTCTTCTGATGGGTCAACATTCATGCGGAGAGTCCCAGAGAACAGAACAGGGTCCTAGATGACCATGAAATTATGATATGATATAGGTATGTATATAAGTACAACTAGAAAATGGCAACTCCACGGAGTAGCAAATCCCAACGAACACAGTATATAAATCATCAATCTGAACAGTCACAATGTAATATTTACCATCTACTCTTACCTTAAATAAATATTTTAAATCATTGTAGTATCATGTAACCATACTTTCAAAATAACTCAGTAATGGCGAATTTCTGCTCTAGTCAGCCATTTTGAATTTTCAGAGGCGCAAATCAGAAAACATTGCCATAATTGTGATCTACTCTGAAATACCTTCAATTTGTGTATAATAAAGCCATACTTTTAAGAGATCAGAAAATAATTGCAAAATCCCGCATTAGGCGGCCATTTTGAATTTTTTGAGGCCCGAATCAAAAAAACGCTACAATATTTGCAACCTACTCTAAATTGCCTTTCATTTGAGTATGATAAAGCTATACTTCAAAAACATCTCAAAATTAACGCAAATTCCTGTTTTCCCAACGCCCCATTCAAATTTCAAATAATAATATTTATTATTTTGGTTTAAAATGAAAAACATAAGATTTTTACGAAAAATTCCCGCCATTTTTAAACTGGCGGCCATCTTGAACAAAATTTTTTTGCGTAAATGTACTCAACAATATACATCTTCCAATCAAATGTGAAGAAAATCTGTTAACTAGTATTCGAGTTATCTTCCTGACAGACAGACGGACTGACTGAATGACAGACGAACGGACGGACGGACGGACGGACGGACGGACGGACGGACGGAGGGCTTCACCATATCCCTCCAGAATTTCGTTCGTTGAGATAATAAATGATAAAGTGGTATGAATAAATGAATCAAAAAGGACAAGGGAAGATTTAACAAATGAAAATGATTTTTTAAAAGATGCACGAGGTCATCATAAAATGCAACTTGTGTCAGTTGACAACTAACCTGCGGAATAATTGTCAGTTTTGACCTGAGGTCATGAAGCCCGAGATCAGATGTTTTAACCCCATCAATATAGATGGCCCCAGCAGCTGCTTCGATTATGCGGAACAGTGATAACGTCAGAGATGATTTACCAGCTCCAGTTCGTCCCACGATTCCCACCTAAAAATCATTGGTTTATAACTTCAAAATCTTAGGATAAACGAATGCTCTCTACTCTAGGATAGGATCTACCTGCGAAATACCTACCTTTTCACTTGGTTTCACACTGAATGAAACTCCTTTAAGTACAAGGTCTAAGCCCTTCCTATAACGTGTGCTATATTCCTTATATTCTACAGTACCCTCTGTGGGCCAACCGATTGGGAGTATTCTGTCCGATCTCCAATCGGCTTCATTCTCTGTGTCACAATACTCCTTGATTCGTTCCACACTGATGATATATGTCTCTAACTCGCACGAATTTCTCACCCATAAAATTAGATTCAATGTAATCTGAAACAAGAAGAAAGTACTGTTAATTTGTGTATTCTTCTAGTGTCGCCTCTATATCATGCAACTATGTCCATTACAATCTCCCATTCTTACCCTTAAAGCGTAAGACAACGACAGTCCTGCCAAACCTGCATTGATTGTGTTTTTCTCTACCACTGCAAAAATACCCGCCAACAAGATGACCATGTTGCCCAATACACCCAAATATGTGCCAATCCACCTTTGGATAAATATAATATTCATAAGAAAGCATCTCTATGGCGAGCGCCTAGAAGACCATCGTTGTAAATATGAAAATGTTATAATGTATGTTATAACTAGGTTTGTTTTATACAGGGCTCAAATATTGTACCAAAAAACAACCAATGTGTTTCCTCGGTACGACCGAAATCCTATCCTTTCTGATGTTACTTTATGAAGTCATGAAAATAACAGCGCGCAAAATACGCTTACCTGTATGATGCAATTACTGGAAACCAAGTTCGTTGACTATTGTCCAACAATTTCTCAGATTTTATCACAAAATCCTCGGAACGATTGTATGCACGGATCGAACTTACTCCAGTCAACGTCTCACTAAAATGTGAGAATATCGGGGACCTTCTGACAGATTCAATCCGTTTTAGTTGCCTCGCAGTGTTTGTGTATAATCTCTGTAACAAATGCCATAAAACTGTAGAAGAATTAAATAAAATTTAGTCGAAAGAAGTGTATCTTCATAAAAGACTGGCTATAGTATACATTGTAGAATTATAAAAATGAATATATAAATGTAATTACTAATTATTATTAAACAAACATAAAACAAGGTCGTTTTGAAAACATATTGACCATTAATAAATTCAATTTTCAAGTCATTCCTTCGTTTTGCAGGACTAGTTAGGCTAACATATACATAGTAATACTTATTTTTAACCAAGCAGTATCACGGTGTTATAGCATGACGGTTACGCCACCTCTGAAAACGAGGTTTGACGGCCACGTTCACTGATTTATCCAATAAAATGGCCGCAATGGAAGAGAAAACTAAGGTTGGTGCATTATTTTCTACTACTGTGTATCAATGAAAGGATGAACGATTTATGTAAGCGTCGCATTCGGTGATGCATTTAGTAATGTATATTTTGAACATAGTCTTTGCAAATTGATGCCCGGGATAACATGAAATAAGAGAAAAACTATCGAGTTTGAAATTAAAAACTACACAAAATTTAGTAATTTGTTTATTTTTGTTGTTAGGGTATGGTCTACATTGCCTAAAAACCTTGGGGTATATAGATGTAACCTACATACGATCATACAAAGCCAATTGAGCATTGGAAACCACCTAATATGTTCTACTCAAGCCATAAAAATGTATTTTGAATTTGCTATCTTTTACATTTTCATTGGTTTCATAAATAAAGCAAGCGACAGTTTTTTCCTTGCCCTATAGATGCTGAAACAACAGCGTCTCTTGCGAGTCCTGAAAACAAATATAGGAAATTCAATATTCCATTTCTTACCCATTATAACAATAACATGGAAAGAGGCTATCAGATCTAGCAACCTTGACTTAACAGATGTACAGGCGCGTAACCGTCCGCTAAATATCTTAGGTACAACTAATACAATTAGGTTACCGTCCATAGAATTCGATAGAAGTCATACGTAGTCGTCTAACGACATTGCGTTGCGTTTGAAACCTTATTATTTACGATATACACCACGTTCCTGTTCTGGATTTGTCATTTTATGCCTTGTTTATACACAGTTTAGTTACAGTTAATATTTTGAGCGGCTCTGAGGCACATGTATTGAGAAAACACGAGAATGGACCAAAAATTATGAACTTGGATATCTCAGTCGGTAGGTTTATAGCTTATATTCTGTTTCTTGTAGACCACCTGGCAGATTTGACCCAGTCTTTATAACCATCGATATATACGTCACCGAATGGAACTAGTTTAAAAGGAAATCTTATCTGTGAATATTGCCTACAGGCTGCCTTTCCCATCCGCCATTTTTTGTTATCGTTACCGCAAAATTTTGCAAATCGCCTTGACGTAACCGTCATGCTATAACACCGTGAGTATACACCCAATTAGGTTGTCCATTATAATCCTTTGCATTTACCATTGTCGTAATTGCATAAAGGAAATAAATGAATAAGAAAATAGAAGAATATTAAAGATGGCTGCTTTTGGCTTGTCTTAGAAATGCATGATCTACGAATATGACATATATCACAAGATTTGGTTTATTATTTGAATATTCACTCAAAAATGAGAAACACATGCGAGATAGCGTACATATTGCCTACCTGAATGATAACGAAGAGGATACAGAGTGGCAAAAGAGCAATAAGAAAGAGAGGGGTACTGTATGAGATGGCGACAATTGTAGCGATCATAGGGCCAACGCTAGCCAACCAGCCCATGATGTATTGCGGCAGTGTAGTATCAACAATGTCCAAATCTTTCGAAAACCGGTTGAGCACTCTGCCCATTGGAGTAGTGTCGAAGAAGCTCATTGGACAGCGGAGGATGTTTTTAACGAGTTTGTTGTGAAGAAATCTAGAGGCGTTGACAAACCCAATTGCACGAGCAAATGCCATCGACAGTGTTGAAATAACTGGAAATACAAATATAATCATCAGAGCTGAGTCGAAAATAAAGCTTGTAAGCCATTTTTTCCTTGCCGAAACCCGGGACTGCACCAGGGACCTTTTGATTCCTGGCGTAGCAAGGAAATCAGCCGCTACAGTCTAACGCTCTCCTAACTGAGCTATTTCGGCGGTGGTTCATAGACTAGTCGTTTACTATGTATTTAGCACACTGTGGCTAGTCGATCTATGTGGATGCAATCATTTATATGCAATGTATCGTGGGTGCTCGCCTCTGTACTTTTCAATGGAAGAATTTTGCACTTCTGTTTAAATAATCTATATTTACTCATTTACAAAACCAAAGCTACGCTATAAACACATATTCTCTGATATTTATACGAAGAATAGATAACTCAAACGAGTTCACTCGACCAGTTTTATCATCTCGCTCATAGCTGTGAGAAGGTATATGTATAATTTGCCATATATTTGTTATATACTGTAAAACACCAACTTAAAATAGAAAGTAAAAAGCTATGTAAAAACCCAAATGATATCACTACTGTACATAATATTAACATGCTTAAGAACAAGCTTAATTTATTATCGTGTTCTGAAGCAAAAGGAGCTATGTTACGCTCTAAAGCACTTTGGGCAGAACATGGTGAAAAAAGCACTAACTATTTTTTGCGTTTAGAAGAGGTTAAAGGGAAGAAAAAAAATAATGAGTAAGCTCCAGTTAGACAATGGTGAAATTATTGTAAATCAAAACCGCATCATGAATGAACAAATAAAGTTTTACAAAGCATTACACAAAAACCCAAATACATATCGTAAAGCAGATTTAGATGATTTTATGCATGATGTTAATGTACCATCTCTTACAAATGAAAAGGCTCAAAAGTGTGAAGGTGAAATTACTGATTTTAAATGTAAACAAGCACTTAAAACAATGTCTAATGAGTCTAGTCCAGGCTCTGATGGTCTTACTGCAGGTTTTTACAAAATGTTTTGGTGCAAACTCAATACTTTGGTTCTGAATTCCCTCAATGCTGCCTCTGAAACTGGTTCTATGTCATGTCCACAGAGATTTGGTATAATGGCTCTTTTACCCAAAAAGAATCTTCCGAAAGATAAGCTAAAAAATTGGCGTCCCTTAACTTTAAGTAATGTGGACTATAAATTAGCAGCTAAAGTTATGGTGTTAAGACTAAAACTTGTTATATCAGACTTGGTACATGAAGATCAATGTGGTTATATTAAAAATAGATCAGCAGGTATGATTTTAAGAGCCATTGATGATGTAATTAATTTTATTGATAAAGAGCAGAAACAGGGTATTTTATTAGCAATAGATAATGTTAAAGCGTATGATACAATCTCTAAAGAATTTATGCTTGTCTCCTTAAAGATGTATGGATTTGGAGATAGCTTTATAAATTGGGTGAAAGTCTTAAATGCAAACTGTATGAATTTCATTAATTATAATGGGTGGATAAATGGCACATCCCCCATTCATTTAGATCGAGGGCTACGGCAGGGCTGTCCACTCAGTCCGAACTGCTACATTTTAGCTACAGAGTTGTTTTCATGTAAACTAAGACAAGATAGCAATATACAGGGTGTTGAAATACCTGGTTGTGACATGGGGCTCAAGTTGTTGCAATATGCAGATGACTCAACACTTCTTTTGAAAAATGAAGCTTTATTTGCCAATGCCATGTTATTGATCGACAAATTTTCAATAATATCAGGTCTGAAAATTAATAAAAACAAAACTGAAGCCATGTGGCTCGGAACATGGAAATATAGACAAGATACCTTAGGTAATATTAATTGGAAGCTAAGTCCAAATAATAAAATTAAAATTTTGGGTATTACATTTTGTACAACTACCAGTGTAACAGATCTTGTACAGGACAATTTTGAGCCAAAAATATAAAAATTTGTTAATATAATGAAATCTTGGTCTCAGAGACGTCTCACATTATTAGGCAAGATAACATTAGCAAAGTATTTTCTTTCCTCACAATTTTTATATTTACTTTAAAGTTTTATATTGCCTGAACATCTTCTTAGAAGGACTAACAGAATGTTATTTAAGTTTATATGGGCGAAGGGGAAATTCAAGGAAGATGATTTAAAATATGTTCCCGAAAGAGTTAAACGGGAAATAATTGTACAAGATTTTAAAAATGGAGGATTAAAAATGATTAATATATTTGATATGCAAAATTCTCTAGCATTTAAATGGGTCAAACAGCTACAAGAAAATGGAAATGGCAGCTGGAGGAAAATACCTCTGTATTTGTATGGTACCCTATGTAAAGATTTAACCATATTTCAATGTAATAATGATTTTAAAAATATTGTGAATACTGATAAATTGTTAGGATTTTATAGCGAACTATTA